GTTGGTGGTGGTGATGATGATGATGAGGATAATGATGGTGATGCGGAGTGTGATGCTGATTAGGACGTTTGTGATGGTGGGAGTGATGATGATTGTGATGTTGATGACGGTGAAGATGCTGACGAACCTACTGCGATGGTGGTGTCGAGGGTGATGCTGCTACTGATGATGATGATGATGATGATGATGATGATGATGATGATGATGCTGTTGCTGTTGATTGGGGGGATGCTGATCATGATACTGACTACGATGATGACGATGCTGATGATGAGGAGGAGGAGGAGAAGGAGGAGGACGGGGCGGAGTAGCAAGATGAACATGTGGAGGATGGAGGGGGACGGATGGATATTGGAGGAACGGGAGGTGGACTGAACGGGCTGGAAGCGGCTTCGGTGGAGCTCCGTGATGGTAGCACAGGCAATGGCGCCAACCTCAAACTAAGGAGGTGGGCGGGGAGGAGGATGGGTCAGGATTGAGATGAGTGCAGAGTCGGGTGGCGGTGTTGTCGGGACGATGGTGGTTTGGATGAGGAGGATGAGGAGGAATGATGGGAACTGCGGCGAATGAGGGGGGGATGTTTATGATGACAATGATGCTGATGCTGATGCTGCTGATAATGATGATGATGTTGATGATGATGATGGTGATGATGATGAGGCTGATGCTTACGATGACGGTAAGCTGCTGATGATCTCAATGCTGATGTTTGCGATGAAACGGCTGCTTGTCATGATGGTTACGGTGGCGATGCTAACGGCGACGCCGATGACCACGACGCCGTTGATGATGCTGGTGGTGACGATGGTGGCAATGCAATTCATGACGCCGATGGTAGTTTTGGTCATGGTGATTCGGACTCGGATGAGACGGGTGAGGATGAATACGAGGATCATAATGCGGGAGGGTGGAGTAGGATAAGCATTGGTAGGAGTTTGCATTTTGATGATGCGAATGGGTGGCGTGTGTGTGTGTGCGGAGGAGAACGATGGAGGAGGAGGGGCGACAACGATGCCGCTGCTGCTGATGACGATGCTGATGATGAGCATGGTGCTGGCTACGATAAGTGTAGCTCATGGTTACGGTGACAATGCGGTGATGATGACGATGCTGATGATGATGGTGGTGGTGGTAACGATGACCATGATGTTTTTGAGACTCACGATGGTGCTGGTGACGTAGATCGCAATGTTGCTGTTGACGATGATGGAGACGTTGAGGATGACGCCGAGGATACTATCAATACTGCTACTGCTGTTGCTGCTGCTGACGATGATTCCGATTCTGGCCATGGTGATGACAGTGTTGATGATGACGATGGCAATGCTGATGACGATGACGATTATGATGACGATGTTGGTATGATGATGCTGGTGCGGTTGCTGGTGATGATGGCGGCGACGACGATGATGACGATGATGATGAGGATGATGCTGATGCGGTTGATGTTCATGGTGTTGATCATGCTGATGCTGTTGTGGCTGTTGTTGTTGCTGCTGTTGTTTCTGTTGTTGGTAATGATGATGTTGGTGATGCTGATTTGGATGAGGAGGTCGACGATGCTGTTGATGCTGATTACGTCGATGATTGCATCGATGCTGATGCCGATGTTTATGACGACGATGGTTATGCTGATGTTGTTTGTGATGGTGACGAGAGTGGCAATGGTGATGATGATCGTGATGAGGCGATGATGACGATGTTGAAAAGACGGATGACGATGATGCTGGTGCTGATGATGCTGTTGCTGCTGATGATGTTGATGAGGATGATGAGGATGCTTATGATGACGATGATGATGATGATGATGCGGATGCTGATAACTATGATGATGATGAGGATGATGATGATGCTGATGATGATGAGGATGATGATGGTGCTGATGCTGATGCTGCTGCTGATGATGATGCTGATGCTGATGCTGATGATGATCAGGATGATGAGGATGCTGATGATGACGATGATTATGATGATGCTGATGCTGATAAATATGATGATGGTGATGATGATGATGCTGATGATGATGCTGCTGCTGATGATGATGATGGTGGTGCTGATGATGATGATGTTGATGTTGATGATGATGATGATGATGATGATGATGATGATGGTGATGCTGATGATGATGGTGATGATGCTGATGCTGCTGATGATGATGATCATGCTGATGCTGATGCTGATGCTGATGCTGCTGCTGCTGATGATGATGATGATGGTGGTGGTGGTCGTGGTGATGATGATGCTGCTGCTGCTGATGATGATGATGATGATGATGATGATGATGCTGATGCGGATGCGGATGCTGATGCTGATGCTGCTGCTGCTGCTGCTGCTGCTGATGATGATGATGATGATGATGATGATGATGATGATGATGATGATGATGATGAGAGGAAGAGGAGGGGGCGGAGGAGGAGTGGAAGCAGGATCATGATGGCGTTGATGATGAGAGGGAGGCGGGGACGGAGGAAGGAGGGTATGACCTGAGGATGTGTGGAGAATGATGTGCAGGATTCTTGTGAGGAGTCGTCAGGTCCTTCGACGCCATCTTCCTCTCGGAGGAGCTGCTCGCGGAGGTCCCGCCGTCACTCGTGGTGCCTGGAGGGCGCATCCTGACGCTGGAGACTTTGCCGTCAGCGGCGGGCAAGCTCTGATGATAACGGGGCCCTGCTCTTCCCCCCCCCTCGCTCCGTCATCCCTGCTCCTCCTTCTTGTTGCCCCTCCTTCCTTCCTCCTCCCTCTTTCCTCCTCTCGTTTCTCTCCGCCCTCCTCCCTCCCTCCCTCCTCCTCCCTCCGCCCTCCTCTCTCCCTCCACCGCCTCCTCCCTCCTCCCTCCTCCTCCCTCCTCCTGCCTGGAGCCTGAGAGGTGGCTCCTCCGTGCCACGGCCGCAGGCGTGGCGACAGGGCGGGCCGGGCGTTTCGCGTGAGACTTGCTCACACATTACGGCCATGAAGTTTGACTTTTGCAGTAGGTACTCCAGATTTCGTAATAAAGGGAGGGGGGTCTCATTTCGGGGGGGGGTCTCTTCCAGGCTATCTTGGAGGGCCTGGGGGGGTCTGGGGACGGTGTTTTGGAGGGTTCTCCCACGGGGGGGGGTCTGAAATGGCTTGTCTTGGAGGGTCCAGACCCCCTCCCTTTTATCTAAAGGCTGCCGCCTCTGCCGCCGACCCCAATGCAGTCGTTGTGGGTTCTTTGGTTCGGGGGCCGCTTGCTGTCTGGATGCGATCTCGTGCGTGTTGGAGCGTTTTTTTTGCGCGAGGTGGGGTCTTCACTGTGGGTCTTGGGGGCCGGTGGCGGGGTGTCCGCTGGGAGGTTGGCCATTTGGGTCGCAACCAAATGGGGGGCACCGAACGAATACTTGAGCAAGAGTGGTGTGCGGAAGCGGCGGCATGCGGAGCATCACCGCGAAAGATTTGGCCGATGAGTCCAAACTGTTGAAGCGTTGCGCGTGTGTGCAGCGTGCAAGAAGGAGTTTTCGCTTGGCAGCAGCACATAAGCGCCAAACAAGAGAGCGAACACTTCACGAGGAAGAGTAAGGTCGTATGCTCAGAGCGCATTGCAGTCGGTGTCACGGTACGTAGTTGCCAGGCCTTTCAGTGCAGTGGCAAGTGCCAGAAGAAAACGCTCGACTGGGTTTTCTCCGTGGACGCCATCGATGTCGCGCGTGACGAGAATACCGGGACTCTGACACGGAAGGCATGGAAATGATACCACTAGGCTGCCCGTAAACGTAGGACCAGCAGCGGTGCGAGCGAGAGGGGCGGCAAAGCATGTGAAAAGATAAACTGAGGGGGAGTAGTCGGAGGAGGAGGTGGAGCAGGGGGAGGATTTCTTTCGGGATTCTTTGGGCCGTCCTGGGGGATAGTGCAAAATGTATGGTGTGCGAAGGGAATGGGGCGGTTTCTGTTTCATGGGATTTTCTGTGGACGCATACTGGGTAACCTTTGGGGTCGTTTTGATTGCTTCGAACGGCGTCGGGAGGCCATGGTCGGTGTATTGGAACGATGTTTGGGCGGTTCGCTGCCCTCTTGGACGTCTGGGCGCTCCAACGCGCCGCGGAACCCCCTGTCCAGGTCAGTGGGGAGGAGGTAGGGGGAGGGGTACCCCCCCCCCCGAAGGGGAAGAGGGAGGGGTGGAAGAGGAAACTCGTTAAACTACCGACGCCCAGAGAGCTGGTGGGATTAATCCAAAAATAATCCAGGGACTATGTTTCGTATTTTTTCGTATGTTTTGATCTTTTTGGTGTAGTTTTGGATGATTCGTAATTTTTCGTCGTTATTCTACTCGTGTTTATTTTTCTTATACGAAGTCAATGTGTTTGACATTGCGCGCAGCGCGAACTTGTAGACACGACTAGCAACAGAAACTGTGCAACAGTATCACGGAAAACGAAAGCGAAAATAGACAGCCCGTCTTGTAGGCTAGGGATCTGTCTCACCACCCACCAAGCCACCTCAACCCTACCCCGAAGGCCCCAGTTTGCCCGGGGCCCACTGAAGAACCACATGTGGAACAACCCGTGCCCCCCGCCAATCCGAGATTTGGGTCTTCGGATTAGGTTGGGGTGGTTTGGTAGGTCGTCATCTTTCAGGATCCCATGTTGTCGGATTCCATGGTGAGGATCGGTACCCTTCCCAAGGGTACCCTTGCATCCTTGCCTCTTCGGCCCATCCTCAATCGCCCTCGATGGCCAGCCCTGTTCGAAGCGCTTCGACACGGCCTTTAAGGGGCTTGCATGCTTCTCGCGCATCCTCACTATCAGTTTTGACTGTAGGCCCCCGTCCTTCAGGACCCCTTATCTGAACCCGTAGACGGGCTAACGGCGATGTAAGCAACGGCGATGTAGGGTTCGGTGGTGTGGGAACGCGTGGCTCGCGCTCTCCTGCACTTCGCTGTGCCGTGTTCGCTGGATTCGTTCGCAGACAGGATATGTTGGAAATTATGGTTCGTGATTTTCTGATGTCATATACTTCGGTTACCATCATCACACCACGCCCGGCCTTGGTCGGAACCACCGAACTCTCGGGATTTTTGAGACGGGGGTCAATCCAAACGGGGGTCAGCCAGAACGTCCGATCTTGCAGGATCCTGCGGGGCCAGGGTCGCATTGACACGGGCTTGGGTGCAGGATATCCTGCAGGCTCTTGCAGGACCCTTCGCGTTTGCCCGGGCTTGCGTGCAGGCTCTTGCAGGATCTTGCAGGATTTTGCAGGGGCTGACTGACCAAGGTCTGGACTGACCCGGGTCAGAAGATCAAGGGGAACGAAGAATGACATAAACATAACAATTTGGACTCCCGCGCGGATTTTTTGGATCTGCGCTGGACCCCCCTCCCTGGCGCGCGCAGCGCGCCAGCGTCGGCTCCGGAGGCGCCGCCAGGGGGGGCCCAGCGTCGATCCGAGAAATCCGCGCGGACCTCCGAGTGTTCATGTTTATGCCGTTGTTCGTTCCCCGAAGATCCCCGGCGCGTCTCCCGCCCCCGGCCCAAGGTGCCCCCAGCTCTCCACACTGCTTTGGAGCCCCTGGGGCCCCCTGGGCCTCGTGAGGGGTGCCCATGGAGGCCCCCTGGGCCACCCCGAGAATCCTGGGGGTGCCTTGGGCCAGGGCAATACTTCTAGCAAGACGCCCGCCTCTCGCCCCCCGCGCCCTCCGCCGGCGCAGCCGGCCCGAGCCCCGGCCGCGGCGGCGCGGCTCGCGAGCCGCGGCCACGGCGGCGGCCTCCGGCCCGGGCCGCGCGCCGACGGCGCCGCCGGCGCAGGCGCCTCCGCGCGCCGCCGCTCGCGAGGCGAGCTGCCACGGCCCTCAGCTTGGCATCGCTCGGACGAGTGCAACTTTCCCTCGGCGAGGACCATCGAGGAGCATCCTTGATCATTTGGCGAAGAAGCCACGCACGAGACCGAAAAAAAGACAGGGAATGGACGCCCGAGCGATGCCCAGTGAGGCATTCCAGGAGGGGGGTAAAAGCACACGTCTGGACGCCCGAAATGGGTACGGAAAGAGTTTTCCAGCAGTGGCGGAGCGTCCCGGCTTGCCGATGATTAGCCCCACCAAGCAGTGTTCTGAGAACCTGTTGTGGTTCCCACGAAATGTTCCTAGAACGTTTCTGACTGGGACTGTCTTGTTTTAACACATCATGTTCTAAGAACATTGTTTTTATTATTAGAACATTGTTGGATTCTACGAACATATCGTGATATGACTTTAGGAATGTCGGGACGGGTGGTCTCTGCTCAAAGAATGGGTACAATGCCCAACAGCAGTTCCAGTTCATCTTGAATTCGCTGTCCACGTCGCCGCGGCCTGTGTCCATTCGAGACAGAAGGCCGCCTGCCCAACAGCGGCCGCTGTTGGTTTGGGACAACATTTGTTGTTGGGCATTGTGCCCATTTTTTCCGTACCCGTATCGGGCGTCCAAAAAAGCACACAGGCACAATGAATCGTCTATTTCTTCGAAAAGATGGGAAACTGTGGGACGTGGGGGGAGGACGAACGCCCAGAAGATATGGGAGCACGTGGTCCCTCCTGGGATTTGAGTTTTTTGTGTGTCTGTGTGTGTATCTTTATGTATGTGTGTCCTCGAGCCCCTTCAGGCAGGCTCGGCCGCGCGCCGAGACTGTCCTGTTTAAGCACTTCGGGCCGATGCTCCAAGAACATTGTTTTTGGTGACAGCGGAGGCCCATGCCAGGAGACGCCCTGCTTGCCTCCAGGGTGCCCTGGGTGGTTTCTCGGGTGTTGACGGCTTTGCCGTGGAGGGCGTGACGTTCTCACATTACAAATCGCTGGACGTCCTGGGGTCTTAGGGTTGGGTGCCTTGTGGAAGGTTTCTTGATGTCGGGCCCCTACTTCATGATGAGTTTAGCGAAGGGCTTACTGCTTGCAGCCTCCGCAGGCGCCCGCGTTCTCGGCCGCGCGGCGGCGGGTTGCTGGAAATGCCGGCCCCGTGGAGGTGTGCTTTGTGCGGGCTCGACTTCGGCACGCGCAGGTGTTCGTATGCAACGAACCATGTGTATTTCGCCGAATAGGGGAGAGGGGGAGGGTCAGGAGGGGAGCAAATTGTCGGGGTGTTTTCCGTTGAGGTTCGGATGTCGGATTTGGAGGAACGCCGTTCGAGGACTGCCCGCTCCCGGAAGCTTGCCGGGTTGCCGCGGCCCGACGGGGTTCGTGAAAATGGTGTGTCGGGGGCCCGACGACGTCGACGACGTCGACGTCCTCGACGACGACGACGACGACGACGACGACGACGACGGCGGCGACGTCGACGACGATGACGACGACCAGAACGACGACGACGACGATTTCGCGTTTCCATTCCCATGGCCAAGCTGAAGCGGCATCTCGCAGGGCGACGGCACAACCAGAAGCTCAGGGAGGTGGCGGGGATAGAGCGTCGTGTGGGGAACGTCAAGCGGTCCCTGTGCTCGGTCCGTGCAGAAACGTTCATGTCATTCCTTGCTTCCACATTGCGGCGTGGTCGCGCAGATGCCCGAGCAGGACGCACGATTGTGGACTATGTGCCCTTCTGTCATCCGAGGCTCCGAACGGAAGACGTCCACGCCATGACCCGGCAAGTGTCTTCATAGCGCTTCGCGGTGCCCCACCAGCTCAGCCAGAAACGATTCCCAGGGGAGGTGCCGGGGTAAGGGAGGGGCCGGACTTGAAGGCTGGGTGCAGGAAACTCGTTTGAGATATCCAGTTGTAGACGGCAAACCCCGACACCGCGCCATGGTTGTGGGTCACGAGGGTTTTGCATGTTCTTTGTGTTATCGTGGCATTCATCATGGGAGCCATTCGGAGGCAGTTTTGATGTCTCTGGAGGGACGTCAGTGGGTTAATGTCGTTGCTCTTGGGGCATGCTTCAGGGCTTCTGGTGAGCTTGTCGGGGCCTCTCGTTCGTCGATTCGCGTTCCCTCTCCTGGGCCCGGTTTGGGGTCGGG